CTGGTGCGCAGTGAGGGTGTGACGATGCATCCATTTACCGATCAACATTGATTAATTGTTCATCTAAACGTGGGAGATGGTGACGACTTGGGGGTGGACTTCATCTAGCAGTGGATTGGTCATGGCTGCTGCTGCTGATGATGCTCAAGCTAAACTATGCGTTGCATGTTATCGCGTGCGCATGAATCGACGTTTTTGCTTTCGTGTATGTTCTATGCAGTACGAATTATCACTTCTGCATCCGCTAGAGACCGCTATATTCATCGCAATATTTAAAGCGAATCTATCCTTGCAGCAATTATTGTGGTGTTAGTGCGTTTGAAAGGGTGTTTGGAGTGTTCATGTTCAGGCAAAATACATCGCATTCATTTGACTCAGCCCATGACTGCCTCTTTCTGCATCACATATTACCACTGTTTCTGAACAGCGCCTTCAGGTGCGTTCACATTTAGGCGCTATATATAAATCCAAAATGTATTGTGCTGATAGGTAATTTGTCGCGTATAATGTATTTTTTTTAATATGGAAGAAAAAAACATGACAAGACAAAAATAATATTACATAAATTTCGATTTAAAGCTTTCGTGACTGCAATGATTCATCTTCTTTGGTTCTTTCGGTAAAGTCACGTAGAATGAGAATAAAATAATAAATTGATCAATTTATTATTTTATTCTCATTCTACGTGACTTTACCGAAAGAACCAAAGAAGAATATTACATAAAGCGAAGAAAGGTCGATCTTGCGAAACCCTAGCTGCAAACGTGAGTTTAAAAATACGAGACTTATAGAAAAATAAGCAAATAAGTAGGCAATACGTTACCTTCACATTTCTGTTCCACCCCATAAAAAATAGCAGTTTTTTTTACACATCCCATCGACCACACACGCGTAAAAAAATACGTTTAATGTTTATGTGGAGGAACATATATGTGCAGGAGGCGTATCGTCTGCGTATTTGTCGAACGGTAACGTTTTCATTCCGGCTAAAATCGGGTTTTAAAGAGACTTTCGCCGGATTGAGAAACGGGCCCTCGTGTCGTGGAGCCCGCAATGCGATCCGGCTTCGTTGCAGAGGAAGAACCCACGTGAAATTGCACATTAAACATTTAAGGATGCGTCTTTGCCAGCGTCTAAAATTGGACGCGTAACACGAATTGGGCCACGTGCACTTCGTCTCGTGCCCTCGTATTCAATAAAACCTTCCTCGATGCCCCTCACCTGTGCGACGATCTGATCACTCCGCTGCTGAATGAAGATTTTACGAAACCGTTGCCATAACGCACGCTCCTGCGATGGAATGCAAAGACAAAGATCCCCCGTGTAGCCTTAACAGACTGGTGGGGCAAGTGCTGTTAGCGAGCACCTATGAACGGTACACGAGGAGGTGGGTGGCCAGCATCACGCCCGACCGTCTTTGTCTCCCCAGTGACGATGTTTTTACACACCACACCAGGTTCTCAATTGAGGTTGAGTCGACCTAGGGACTGGTTCAGATAATCGCCACTAGTTTTAGCTGTGAGCGGTAATCGAACTCCGGTTGCCGAGCTCGTAGCGTAGTGCGTTACGGTTACACAACCGCTTCCGTTGACTACTGCGAAGTCATCATCCACCTAGCGCCTACACACGACCTGATTTCATTACTCTATCTCCCTGGTGGATGTCCTTTCGGATGCGTTCCATTCCTTGGCTGCCACTCTATCATTAGTCTTGCCCAATGTGCATATTCTCTTCGAGCGACAGTTTTAATCATTCTGAACGCGACGAGGCGTGAGTAACAGCGAACCCGCATACCTAACACATCACGGCAGCATACAGCGGGGATAAGTACAACAAGGCGCTAATGATGCTTGCACTAAATTTCGATTTAAAGCTTTCGTGACTGCAAGGATTAATCTTCTTTGGTTCTTTCGGTAAAGTCACGTAGAATGAGAATAAAATACTATAAAATAATATAATAATATAATATAATAAAATATTTTATTCTCATTCTACGTGACTTTACCGAAAGAACCAAAGAAGATGCTTGCACTCTTTTCCCGTGCATTAAAATTTCGTGGATAATTTGCGTCTGAATTTTGTAATGCGTTCGTGTGATTTAGGAGCGTAGTTGCATACAATTCAGTTCTCGCGACTCCACCACGTCACGCCTTTCTACGTCTCGCAATTTTAGGTCAATTAAAATTGACAGCCTTACACGCGGTACTTGCCTGATGATTGCTAACGACTTAATTCGCGTTTTTAAGCGGAGAAGATTGGTACACGCGAAAAGCTGTGATGGTCCGCGAGGAAACTCTGATTTAAGACAATGCCACCCATCACATCAAATTTTGTTCCGCACTTAATTCCGCTAAACAACAGCTCTGAGAATGAAAATAAACGGGTTGACCTTCATGGCAAGATTATTATTCTTAAGTGGTAGAGCAGGTGGGAAAGTTATTCACTCTACTCTGTTGATCAGAGGCCACTGAATGAATTTCAGAGGAAGCTCTGCGGTATCCACTTCCGTGGGTCGTTCTCTCACATGATGGGTTCCACTGCTCTACGACAAATCCAAATGAATACTTCGTCTCATGCAATGACGACGATAGCACAATCGAGACAACAATGGGGGAACAGATAATCAGGAAGAGCTGGTGTGTGAAATGAAGGGGCACGGCCCCACGTGGCGAGATGAAGCGACTCGAGTCGACGTGCCTCTGCATTCTCAATCCAGCACCACCGCATCCTCTTGCACTCCCTGCCCCTACATACACACGCTTCCAGGCCGAACTCATACATGCGAACGTACACAAGCACACACACGCACGTGCATTCTCATAATGGCATATATGTAGTGAAAACATAACTAGATTTTTGAGAGAGAAAAAATGCAGAAAATCCGAAATATAGTATATAAAAATCGGACATAGCAACTTATATCATGCCATACACCACAAGTGTACAGATCACGAAAAGTAACGCATTCAACAGACTAGATTTGAAGCTTTCGTGACTGCAAGGATCCATACTCTTTGGTTCTATTCGGTAAAGTCACGTAGGTAAAAAATAAAACAACAAAAATCACGACGTTTCGGCCACAACACAAGTAGCCTTCTTCAGGTGAAGGAACAGAACTGTCGGGACGACAGAGCTTCAATTGAAGGAACAGAACTGTCGGGATGACAGAGCTTCAATTGAAGCTCTGTCGTCCCGACAGTTCTGTTACTTCACCTGAAGAAGGCTACTTGTGTTGTGGCCGAAACGTCGTGATTCTTGTTGTTTTATTGTTTTACCTACGTGACTTTACCGAATAGAACCAAAGAGTATTCAACAGACTGTTGGGGAAAGTCCTATTCGTGATCACCGTTTAAAGTCTGCACGGCACACGAAGCAGTGATGTAGCCAACAACATGTCCGATGTTTACACACCACACCAGGTACTAATTTGAGGCTCAGTCGACTCACAGGAGGCCCAAGACCAGTTAAAATATTCGCCACTGTTACTGGTCTTGAGCGGGAATTGAACATGGGTAACCGGGTTCGCAGCCACCGCTCCCCCCAAAGACAAAGACCCCCCGTGTAGCCTGAACAGACTGTTAAGGAAAGTGCTGTTTGCGAGAACCTATGAAGAACGGCACACTAGGGGTCACCACACACGCAGACACAGACGTGCATAACTCAAGCAAAGACCAAGACAAATAGCCCCCGTTTAGACTTAACAGACTGTTGGGGCAAGTGCTGTTAGCGAGCACCTATGAAGGCCGGCACAGCACACGAGGGGGTGGGTGGCCAACACCACGCCGGCCGCCTTCGTCTCCCCAGCGGCGATGTTTTGACACCGCGCCAGGTACTCATTTGAGGCTGAGTCGACCTAGAGGAGCGCTAACCGCTACACCACCGCTCCCCGCACACACATTCGCGTCCAGACACAGGCCGCGAACACACGTGCACGCACACACACAGGTGCGCACACACACACGTGCACACACACACGTGCACACACACACGTGCACACACACACGTGCACGCACACACACACACGTGCACGCACACACACGTGCACGCACACACACGTGCACGCACACACGCACACACACACACTTGCACACACACACGTGCACACACACACACACGTGTACACGAGACCCGGGTGGGGTAAATGGAAACAGGTGTGCGGGGCTCGTGGGAGGCGCTGTGCTCTCGCTCTGAGCGCCGCGCTTTGTCGCCGTGCGCGCAATTCACTTCTCCGTCGCCGCTGCGCTGAAGAATTCGCGGGGTGCATCGCGCATCGAGTGATTAACATTGCAGGCGACTCTCCTTAAGCAGGACCTGGGAGAAAAATCAAAACAATGTCTGAAGATGGCGAATATGTATGATAATTGAGAGCACGCAAACCGGGTTTGGAAATATATTTTTATTGATTAATTCTGATTCATGCCCCGCGCGCCAGCCACGGCACCAATCAGACCCCTTAATTGGAACGTGTATCCCATGCTAGTCATTTGTCTCAGTTTATTTAATACAAGGGGAGCGGTGGAGCAGTCGTTAGCGCACTAGGCTCTTTCGATTCCTGACCACGGCGAACATCAACGCCGGGTGATATCCCTGAACCGTTATACACACCCCCCTCTGACAAACCCGCATTGACCAGCACGGTGAAGTATGATCAATCAACCTTCTATGACCACCGACAGCGGTGTTTTAATTTGCAAAGGTCTGTATGTTATTATTCGTGTTATTATTATTAATCATCGTCGTCGTAATTTATCTTTGTATTATTGAACTAAGCGTGAACTCTGGACACGTATACGAACAACGTTGACCTGCATGAGTGTGCGCGCGCGCTGCCACGAGCGAGCACGGATGAAGATGATGCTGGCAATGATGATGATGGTGGTGGTCATGATGATGACGATTGGGCTATGAGTGTGCTGGCCGCACGTGTGCTGGCTAGCGCTGCTATGGACCGGCTCTGGCCTGGCTTGAGAGAGAGAGAGAGAGAAGGAGGAGGGGGGGGAGAGAGAACTGGCTCAGAGAGACTGCCGCCCCTCTCTGCAGGCAGGCACTGCTACTCTGCGCGCTCGCAGCCACACGGAGTGAGTCAGTGGCCCGTGTCATTTCCGCCCCGTGTGCCCGGGCTGGAGAGCGCCTCAAACTATAGAGGATCGCTGCTCGCCTGATCGTTGTCTCTCTCTCTGCGCGTGCTTATCTCTCTCTGTGTATGTGTGTGTGCGCACGTATTTTACGCATACGAGTTCTGCGAGGTTGGCGGGTTAGATAGGAGATGCTGGAAGGGAGGTGCGCCAGCAGTCGATTTCCAAACCCGAGCCAGGCAACGATTTTAATTTCCGAGGCGTTCCCGAAGATGGGGCGATCTTAGCGCTGCGAGGAGCGGGCGACATCGACGCGCAGACCCAGCCGCAGGAGGAGGAAGCGGAGCAAGGGGAGGAGAAGGAAGAGAGAAAGAGAGGAGGAGGAGGAAGGAGGGAGGAGGAGGAGGAAGGAGGAGGAGGGAGGAGCAGCGAAAAGAAGAGCCTCTTCGCGTCTGCTTCCCAGCGCAACCCAGAGCGGTCAGTATCGCAGAGGCGCAGTGCACCCACCCGCGTCTCTTGCTAAAGACAGCCGTGCGGAGCGATCGCTTAGTAACAATACAGGCACGCATTTGCTCCTGTGTTGGTCATTTAATTAAATTTATACGTATGTTTTTTCTTCCATTCGTGGAAGTACAGTGCATATTTGGATCTCAAAGACTTTGTGTGCTAGTGGAGCGGTTAGCGAGCTGTGTGCGCTACGAACCCGGCGACGCGAGTTTAATTCCTGCTCGCAGGCAACACCAGCGACGATTATCTGAACCGGTTGTGGGCCTCCCCTAGGTGGGGTCAGCCTCAAATGAGTACTTGGTACGGTATATAAACATCGCAACGAGAGAGAGAGACAAAGGCATCCCGGTGTGGTGCTGGCCACCCACCCCCTCGTGTGCCCGTGTATGCCTTCATGCTAACAGCACTTGCCCCAAACGTCTATTCAGGCTATACGGTGGGGATCTTTATATCTTGTGTACGCGTGATTACTTGTTTGTTAATTACATTGGTGCGTTTGTGGTGTTGTTTCCCCCCCCCCCCCTTTTGACAGTGTCGGTGGGACGGTGGTGGGTACAGAAAATATGAGCAAAATGAAGAAACTACGGCGCACGCTGTCGGAAAGTTTCAGTCGGCTGGGTGAGTCTCCATCTATTATCCCGCAGCGCACGTTCCAAGCCACTCGCTCATCCTCATCATCCTCAGGCCGCCGCCGCTATACAACGCGCTACTCGCATGGCCGTGATTACCAACATTCGGGTGTGTGCAGTGTGCGTTGGCTTAGCCTGCCCGGGTAACGGGGTCACAGATTAGAGGAGTCCCACCAAAACCATTTCCACTGAGAATCACGCGTCCGTGCCTCCAGTAACCGCAACTCACAATCTACAGTTGGGTAGACTCCAACATTGTATCATGTGTACCACTCACCACGCTACATGTCTATGCCCACGTCAACCTAAATGCGAACCTCGTGGGTGTTTGAACTGTGTGTATGTTGAACTTATTTCGTACCGTACGTAGCATAACCGCGCTAATCGGAGGTGCGGGGGAAGGACAACAATCTAAGGGCAAAAAAAGCAGTTGTGGATAGCGACGTTAGTTCATCACAAAACGTTGGACCGTGGTGGAGAACTGTAGTTGACAAACACCACTGACTGACTCCAGTTGACACTCAACAGAGGTGGCACGGTCCCTACCGAGTTCCCCGAGGGCTTGGAGATGGCTCCCCCCCCCCTTACTAAAGGCTGCCACCCCCACCCCCCACTCCACATTCGTCTTGCCAAATCAAATATTGTTGGTAACAATATTGAACACCAGTGACAACTAAGCGACGACAGTCGAAGCTTACAGCCTTCCCTCGTATCCTACATTTGGGGGTGAGAGGCAGAGCAGGAATTACGATCGGGGGGAAAAAAAACAGATCGTATCGTTACTAATTCGGTTCAGCGTTTGACGTTTGTCTAAAGTTCGTATAACATTGACAGTGCCCTCTCCCCCGTTGGAGCTTATTTAATGCCCTCCCACCCTTCCCTTTAAATAAGGTCATTCTGCACGGCTGTGCTCTGAGAAAGCAACACACGTGATGTTTAATCGGGCGCATTAATCTAATACGGAGCATTGATCTAATGTACCTGGCGTGGGCACTTGTAATTAAGGCAACTTGTACGAAATCTGCTCCACGCTGCTCGAGTTGTAATCGCTATTGCGGAGTGTGTTTCATTGTGAAGAGCCGTGACACTGTTGTTAGATGCGCTATTGTTCAGACGCGACGACATTCAAGCCCTGGGATTAACAGTGGCGTATGTCAGCAATACTACTCTACTGCTATTGTGGCGATTATGTTGGCCGTATCGCTTGCTTGGTGTTGATCGGTGGCACAGTGGTTAGCGCGCTGCGCTGTAAACCCGACGACCCAAGTTCAAATATAGGCCACGGATAAAGTAAGTCGTCATGCCCGTGTTCTTTATTGCAAGGCCCATGGGCCACTGGCGGCCCCTGGTGGCATTTAGTGCGGCCCCTGGGCATGCGGTCCCCGACAATACACAACGCGTGACACCACCCCCCCCCCCACCATCATCATCTTGCTACTGTCAAACCCCCGATGGTTTACAATGTGTGGCGGCCCTCACACTGATGTCTCTCTCGGCGAAAGTGGCCCACCCCCCTCTGGAAATTAGTGAAGAACAATGATGTATGTCGAACTTCTTTTGCATCTTACGTAGCGAACCGTGATAATCGGAGATGTGCGCGTGGCGAGTGATATCACAACCGGACCTCACCTCCTCCGCCTCCACAACCCTTTCACCAACCGGCATTGCCTAGCGTGGTGAAATATGGTGAACCCCCTCCTCCCCTCACCGATTGACATGGTGTGGAGAGGCTCTCAATCAATGCAAGAATGGATTTCTGATTATGTTGCCACGAGCTTGTTTGCCTGTCCTAGGACGGAAGCTGTAATATTTACGAAAAATTGGAGCAGAGTAATAATTGTACAGTATCTCGTGTAAATGTAATGGCAGTGAATCTTGCACAAAACTATGTCGTCAAACACTTCACTGCAAGTTCACTGTAGCACTGTATTAATGGCCGTGAATTGGCACAAAACGAAGTCCTAAAACACTTCACTGCAGTTCACTGTAGCACTGTATTAATGGCAGTGATTCTTGCACAAAACTATGCCATAAAACACCTCACTTCATGTCACTGTATCACTGTATATAACTGACCTTCAATTTGTTCAAATTCACTGCTCTGATACTTTATTCTCTTCTGCTTTCGGTCGCTGGGGTTGAAATAAATTGGAATTCGATACAATATCTGGAAAATCACCGAGAAATGTCTATTTTATTATAATGTAAAAGCATACATTAGACTTACCTTTTGTCTCAAGTGCTGAAGAAATAAATAAAGACACCAAATCCATATTCTTTGGATCTTTCGGTAAACTCACGTAGATAGGTTCAAAGAAAATAATGAACCTATTTATGTGACTTTACTGAAAGACCCAAAGAATATGAATTCCTGCAGTCACAAGAGCTTTAAGTCAATATTTACACCAAATCCTATTTGTTGCTGCGTATGATTATTTATTAGAATTCCCTTTCAATAAAGAAACGTGAAACTGAAAGCGAATTTGCGTAAAAAAATGTCTTTTGGCTCGACCTTATGCGTGAGTGTAAAAATCCACCCGCTCATGAATATTAATGATGGGGGCGTGCAGCATGTGGAGTGACGTCACGCACGTTACACACAAACAGACATTCTTGGCTCATTGTAGTAGTAATGTGTGTATGTATGTATACATGTGCCAGTGGAGTGGTGGTTTGAAGCTCACTTGGCAGTGTTGTTGGTTTCATTTTGGAAACTTAGTGCAGCTCGTTGTTTGTTTGCGTGCAGACTGAGCAATTGATTTCACATGTGCGAACGCAACGCGCGTATGGACGTATACGCTGATACGGGGTTACAGCATTTAATAAATGAAATTAACACGTCGCACGTGTGCGTGGGCGCATGTGTGTTTGTTTCACCAGCTTTGAAGAAGGAAGAAGTGGTGAGTGAAGAGGTGAGTGGACACATTGGGTGCCGAGTCGGTCTGTGCACGTGTGTGGTTGCATGTAATGTGTGCTCATGAGCGGAGTTTGGATGAAAGAAACCTCAATGTGTACAGACATGGACACAGTCCAATGTTTCCGTGACAGGCGGCCAACACATCGGTTGAATTTTCAGACTCCAATTTGCAAGTTGATTGTGGAGAGTTGGGTGATGAGCAAAGATGAACTCCACCACAGTGTGAGCCATTTGCAGCGCTGTCCATTATCCAATTCGCAGGCCTTTTTGGATCCACTGCTGGACAGTCGTAAGGGTACTACTGCACAGGTTATCACGGTAGTGATGTGTAGCTCTCCGATGTGTTTCCACGTTGTACCGCGTGTTGTTTCGGCGTAATGTCCGACGTTTTTTGCCTGATGTTCTGGGAACTTCAGTTCCTGATGAAATTCCCGAAGACGCTCTCAGCACGTGGAGCGAAATGTCGGGCGTCATGCCGCACCACACACTATACAACCCCAAAACACATCGGAGTGGGTCATAGGTGTTGTTTGACAATACTTCACCACATTCGTGAGTGTGGGTTGATTGTGAATTTTGGCAGGGGGGGTGGGCACAGATTCAAATGTCACGAGCCACCGATGATAGCCATGTCCGGGAATCAATCCCGGATAGCCAATTTTATAGCACAATTTGCGAAACACTACCCCACAACTCCACTCCATCCAGAGTAGCGGACAACATACATGGTGTGAGAACGCGAGCATTCCATTCCTGGTGTTGGCCCTCATTTTTGATGGGACAATCTCGCACGAGCGTGTGTCTACACAGCTGTGACAGCTCCGGCCTTAATCCCCTTTTGCATTGATAACGAGTGCTTGTTTTTCTTAATGGTGTGCTTGGGATATAGTGCAGGTGCCACAAAAAAATAATCATGAGCTAATCATTGCTGTTGGCCTGCGTCGGAGTCGCGCGCAGCTTCGGTAAACATCCAATTGTAGGAGCCCAACGAAGCCGGAGAGAAGGCAGAGGCGGGCGTTAATCCGCTTGATTCGCACGACCAACCCTGCACACAGTCACGCGGCAGTGAACATGATAAATAAATAAATGGGAGAGTCAAAACGAGTGTTAAATATTGATTTGAGTGAAAAACACAAGGCAACCGTATACAGTGGTTCATAAAAAAATGATATTGGTTATTTGTGCAGTCACAATGTCGTTTAAATTCAACTTCGCGGCAAATTGCAGGCAACATGAAAGCAGCCCTTAAGGGGCATAATGTTTAGTTCTCCAGGTCAAGTACGTCTTTATAATTGGCAAACCACTTGTACAACGATAATAGCTCCTTCTAACTGACCTGCTGCAATATTCATCAAAGCATACTACTTGACGTGCTAAATATAAGACCTAATTATGGAAACTTCATGTGGCAATTTAAGTGTAAAATCTGCTTTCAGGCAGCCAGTTTGGAAGTTGGCCAGCTGTAATATATTGCCGTGAGGTTGTTAACTCGCTACCACAACGTGGCTTGATAGTTGAAGAGCGATATGTTTCCTTTCAATATTCAACGTGTTTAAAATGTAGGCAGAGTAAAACATCGCTTTTTTTTAACTTGAGGCCCATCGTTCTGCCGCTCTCTGTCACGCCCTGTGAATAGCGACGGGTCTCATTCCTCAGACCAATTAACGGCGACCAGTTGTGCGCAGAGTTACGGCAGTGTCATCCAGGCTTGGCAGGGTCACGCAAACACATCACGGCGACCCCCACGCTGCTTGTTCGCGACGTCGCGGCTCTGTTGCCACTTGCCCGGGTGCGAGAGAGGAGTGTGAGCAACTGGCAGCCCAAGGACTCCGATTATGTTAGCAGGAGAGAGAGAGAACAAATATCAATACAGGAATTACAAATGAGGCCGGAGAAAAGAATTGCTCACAAATCAAAGTTTTGTCCAAGTGCTCTTGGTTTGAACGGGAGATACGCCGCAAAGCAGTATATATTTAGACGGGCAGCAGAAGGAAAATTATAGTTCCGCGCAAATGAAAATGAGAGGTATTGATTGATTTCTGTACTTGACCTCTTTGGGTTATTGTGGGCAGAGTTGTAATTAGGGTCGTCTCGTCAGCCCGACTGAGAGTAACTTTGGCTCGTTTGTCCCACGGTACAGAGGGCTTGTCCACTCAATAATGAATTCTGAGCTCTTTCTGTCATGCAGTTTTGTGGCTGCTGTGCTTACAGACCAGTGATGGGCAATGAAATGTGTTTCTCTGCAATAAAACAATATTTGCCTTACAAAATATTCCTGCAATTTAATTAATGTTTCATTTCCGCCATTTATATGCCACATGTGAGTGGGATTTTTATGACAGTAATCGACAGTAGATTGTGGACTGACTTGAATATACCACCCCAACAATGCTAATTCAATTTTGAGATTAAAAATGTTTGTATTTCGATGGCCTCAGTTGTCTCATTTGTGACTGTCATTATCATCATTACGCAAGTTGCTGCTATCGTTTCCAATCCTGCAATGTAATAATCCACCCAGCCCCTGCACATGAGCTGATTTCATCATTCCATCTCTTCACTATACGTCCTCTCAGATGCGTTTCATTCCTAGGCTGCCACTCCACCGTTATTCTTAACCGATGTCCATCATCACTTCTTCACAATTACTGCTGGGTTTCTAATAATGGTTAGCACTGCCACGGACTGTTCTCTGTCCACCCGCAGAAGATGGCTCCTTCGACCAAAACGCTGCATCTCAGTTACGCAGTGTGCTATATAAACTTATGAATGAATGAAGAAACAAATATACCACCTTCAGAAATATCCCATCTGTAACCCAGCTCAGAAAAAAAGCAGCACGTACTCATGCATTCAAAGACAAGTCATGCAAGTTCCGCAATTTAGCGAAACGTGACAACGAGCGGCTCACGTAAAGGTCGTTTGGTCTCGGTCATAATTTAAACTCGCGATGAAACATCTTCAACGCGATGAACGCGAGTTCACTTGCTCGAATGGCCGGCCGTGCTGCCGCTTAGCCACGGCTTTCTCGGTCGACGACGTATCTGAAGAGGCAGCCGCCATTCAGCTCCGTGCAGCTGTTGAATCCAGACATATTTGCTCAGTCGTGTCCGAGTGCACCAGCCGCATATGTTGGTAGTGCCGGCTTTTTGATGCAAACCAATTGGGAATGAAGTCAGCGCTTCGGTCTGCTTCGCAACGGAATGCTAAGAAGCCGCTGCGATTCATCACACAATCAATGCTTGGCTTGCCATATGGGCTGATATTAAAATTGTTCTGGTGTTGCGTGTATTATTCGTGTATTGTTAAACAAGAATTCGTTCATCGCAGGCATTTGCATTTACCAAAGGCTTTACGTATCTGTGAGTTTTCAAACCCGACACGAAGATCGTAATGGATGGACTGGTATACATATTTTATGCGTAAAGTGAAGCTATCAATATTTCGAAGTTTCACGTTGTGTTTTTTTATATATTTGATGCGATAATTCAATATAAAGCAATGTACAGTAATGTCAGGGAAATTATAATTATTTTCCAAGATGGTCCACAAATGGAAGAACAAAGAGGAATTCATTAATTTATCTCTTTCCCACTTTATATTGAAATTTTAAATTATGAGAAAACGCAGGGGGGGCATAGGAAGTTTTAAACAACTGTTAAAAGTCGAGCTAAACATTGCAGTGATATATGTTGACCCTTTTTGTCAATTGGCGGCTGGGGAGAGAGCGAGTGTGAATGTGCTTTCGTAAGTGCCGCCTGTTACATCAAACATTGCGTTCCCACGTTTAAACTTATGATTATTTTCAAACAAAGAGCACCAGCAGCAGAAGTTAAATATAAACCTCACTCAAAGTATTTACTTTTCATTTAACAAAGTAATACATTGACCAAATTTAAATGACACGCTTACTGCATGTCGATATTTGTCAAACACGAGTTGTGTTTCAACAGCAGGGCCCTGGAGGGGGGCGGCGGGGTTGATGTGGTCATCAGTCCCACGTGACTTGACTTCCCATACTACGGATGTTTGTTAGTTGTTTTAAATATATATTTGTATTGTATTTGTGCCGAATATAATGCCACATATTCGTTTATTTTCACACGAATCAAATAAGTTTGATAACAATGTAAAAATTGTGTGCCCTTGCCACGTTTTGTAGTTTTATTCACGTGCCTTTGTATTTTTTTCCATTTAGAAAAAATATACTTGCGATTTATAACGTATAATGGATATTTAATCTTGATTTAAAGCTTTCGCGACTGCAGGAATCCATACTCTTTGGTTCTTTCGGTAAAATCATGTAGGTAGAAATAAAATACACAGAGGGGAGAAGCTCTTCACAAGGCAGCAGATATCGTTGCTGCTGGCAACAGACATCGTGACTATCGCGATTTTCACCTGATGACGGGCGCTTGTGTTGCGTTCGAAACGTCGTTATTTATCTTGTTTTATTTCTACCTACGTGACTTTACCGAAAGAACCAAAGAGTATAATGGATATTGTTTACGACATTTGTTTACTTTCATACATTTTATTTGTCCGAGTATTTTTCTAAATTATTATTTGGCAACAGGGATCTCTTTTGTACCATCTGTGGAACGAGCGTGTTTGCCAGTTGGCAGTATTCTTAGCTCAGCCTGGTAAACAGTCAAAGTAAATTATACATGCAATAGCTTCCTGTCAGCTTATGGGAGTACAGTTTGAATATGCATGTGAATTTTTTTTTATTCTCCCCTTTGTGTATTTTCGGCCCAAGCAAAACAAACAGAACTTTAGTTTTTATTATGCATCCATCAAGACCATTTACGTGCATTCGTAATTCAACAAATTTCCTTTCAAGAAAAACAGTTCTGGTAAAGAATACGAATTTAAATGTATAAAGCGCCCTTAAAACAATCGTTCTCGGGGGGCTTCACGACGTATCGTGCAAGCGTTAAAATGTTTTAAGGCTTTGCACGCGTTTGTCATGAAATCCCTTTTCCCATTTTCCAA